TAACACAGAAATGTTAAGGTTACAAATTCAAGTTTAGAATTATGTCACACCACTAATTCTGCAACTTTAAAATTTTACGTAGACACCCTAAATGATCGCTTTCGCTCTTGGGGTTATTGTATTTGAAAATATGTTGCAATTAATATAAATTAGATTTAAAAGATGATGAATAATAAAAGAAAGAAAGAAAGAAAGAAAGAAAAGAAACGGAAAACTTTAAGAATTTTCAATTTTATTGGACCCTGAAACAACCCGGATCTGGTCTGACAAAAGACATGTTTACTTACTAGTCGAACTGGGTTTTAGGTTTTGAGAAGGGCCGGAGGAAAATCGATGACCTGAACAAAAACAAGTTCAAGACTTGGATCAAGAGAGAGCTAGAAAACTCTGCTCCTGTGCATGTCTGGTCATTAAAGAAGCAGCCACTCAATGCTTGAAAAGTTCGTGCTAAGGCAAGTCATGCTGGGAACTTGAACCGACTTTTGTTTTCTTAACCGAGAATATCCTAAAAAACTCCTTTCTAAAAGGCTTGTTGAAAATGTTAAACACAAATGGATTGAGTGCGGAACTTGCAAAGGCTGTGTATGTGATAATCATCTCGGCATAGCGAGGTATGCTAATATAAACTGCAATATGCAGCGTTGTGGAGCATGGAATCCAGCAGACGACGAACCCACAGACCAGAGCAAGCACAGACTTTGTGACATGAATCTCCTCTCTGCTCAAAGATGGGTAGTTCTGACTATCTCCATTATTCATCGAGGTTGATACGGAAGTTTCGTGTCTTTTGACGATTTGATAGACTTTCCAGTAGCAAATTGCAGTCATCAGCATCGGGTATATAATGAATGTGATGTGGGACAAGGCAGTGAAGACACGAATTGCAATAACATTGTGACTTGCTAAGAAGTATACAAATCGACCAGGGTAAAACAGGAATGTTCCCAGCCCACCGAAGTATACTACAGCAACGAAGGAAACGGAAAGAATCCAGGAACCAACTATCATCAGTATTGCAGGTTTAGGCTTGAAATATTTTCTGTATACTAAAGGCTTTACAACGCAGAAAAATCTGTTCACTGCAATCAAGGATGTTGTCTGGAGAGATCCATAAATCAACGATAAACAAATAAATCCTGAAACTTGACCAACACTGTGGCCAACAACATCACGTCCATGAGTGGAATTAGCAACTGATAGGGGCATTACTGTTAATGCAAAGACGATATCCGAAATTGCAAGTGTTATAAGGTAATAGTTTGTAACATTACGAAGGCGAGGTGATTTGTAAAACACGTACAAAACACAAGAGTTGCCAATCAGAGCTGTCAGTGCTAGAACAACTAAAACACCAGTCTCTATATATACTTGCGGTTTTGTTCTGTGAGCCAGTTGATAAGCCAGTTTTTTGACGTGTTCTGGATCAGGCATAACGCTGGTTATAAGATTTCTGCAAGTTTCAGATTTTAGCAAAACAGTCAGGAAAACGTTCGATTATGAAATACAATTTTCTTTAAAGGTAATCCAGCGAAAGGAGGGAACGACGTTTACGAGATTGCCTTAATCAGTCTAGTTGTGATGAAGAAGGTTAAACAAGAGCAGCTACTACTTTTTTCAGGTAAATTTTCTGACAAACATTGAAGTTTGAAATATACTTATATAACTTTAGTTTTTGCCAATCTCACACTAATCAAATATCCAGAATTCGAAACTGACATTTTATAAGACAAGCCGTCTCCTCTTATGTCAATAGAAAGGCTTTGTTAACGACCTTCTCTCCTGTTATTGGCTACGTATTTGAAAACTGAGAAAACAACTTTAAAAATTCTCATCATGATTTTTTAAAATTTAGTAAGCTTTCCTGCTGGTATATTATAAATTGTTACTGCGACCCTAAAGGCTAAACCGCGTGCAAGGACATCCGCGGTGCCTCAGTTCATGCTCTATTTGATTTACTTTATGAAACTGCATTAATATGTTGTTTAAGGACTAAATGAAATCCAGCTGCAAATATACTTATTATGAGAAATTTTTTCAATATTTTTCTTGGCTTTTTTCTCAGAAAAAAGTTTACCCGAAAATAGATATTATTATTCCCTTTCATTTGCTGAGTATTTGCTCCGCTACGCGTTGTGCTTTTCATGCAACAATTCGTTTGTTTTGCCACAGCACGAGTAAACACCCAGAATCATCTTTTTTTTTCTTTCAAAGAGCATTTGTTATGTTACTAAACCTTGGTGAAGAGAATCTAAACACAAAGATGACAAACATATTTTACAACTCGATCCTTATTATGTACTTAGCCATAAAATAAAAACAATTATGGCAGCCAAATATTTTGATTTACTCACTTGCTTAAAATGTAAGTAAAATATAGAAAATCGTGGGGTGAATTTAGATTTCGTTATTCGCCAGGTGAACTCTTGAAACCCTTTGTTTTGCTTTGCCGCCATAAACACAATCGACATTAAAAGTAAAACTAAAACTTTAATTGAAGTAATTTTCCTTTCCGAAATTTAATGAAATCTGGATATCTCGTATCGAAATGTGCCAAACTTTATTCTAATGTTCCAAACTGTAGGACAATATTTTGCTTTTAAGATGTTTATTGGAAGTCAGAGGACAAAGCTTTTTATAGCGAAGTGTGAGAAAATTGAGGAACGGTCTCCCTTAGGTAAGGGAGAGAGTAAGGAGAGCGAGGGTGAATGAAGGCACGTGGTTCGTAGGAAGAGAGTCGCGCAAGTGGCGAGGAACGAAGATGAGAGAAGATTTATTGAACTTGTAACTGAGAACTCATAGTCGGATTATTTCTTCTTTCTTTTGAATGTGCGGTATGAAGATGTGTGCTCCATCCATTCAGAAAAGAATCGTGGACATTTGACTTGAAGGTTCTCCTGAAGGAGCATTGGGGTCTGGTTCATCGTTGTCTAATGGACCAAATCCACTTGGCGTAATGTTTTGCCCATTTGAGTTGTAGCCATATTTATGCGTCTTCTCCTGTGCAACCGTTAAACAAAGAAATAATACTC